AATGTCATCCCATCTATTCAAAAGGCAGATTCAGGGTGGCATCAAACAGACGAAAAACTGAGGAGCATACCCAGTGCTATGGTGGAATTACCGAAAGAAATGACCGGGAAACACGTCTGAATTAACTGGGATGCGGTACCACACTCTCAAGTCCATGGATGAATCTCCACAAAGTGTTCTTCTGTTTCGCAAGGCTTACCATAGCAGGAGAATACTAAAGATGACTGAGCGGTGGCTAGTAATTTCCCGAACTCAACGGTTTGGTGACCGTCGAGATTCAACATTGATTACGATCTTCGTAATTCTAAAGGACTGCCTAGGCTGAAGGCACATCGTCAATTATCCTCGCCATACGTTGCGCTTTCGTGCTACTTTGTGTTGCTGGTACATGATCCTGTCGCCAATAATTTGAGACAGTAATTTTGACATGGCCTATTAAACTTGCTATTCCTACCTGGCCATTCCGCTATATTTTTTCTTGGTTTCTTTCTTGTGCGTATTCTACGAGCGCAAACAATTAGTGATGAACCCCCTCGTCTATCAAGTTCTCGTGATGACTGTTCACAAGACCGGAGGACTGTACGTATCAAGACAAGAAAATAGATAAGTTATCCTACACCGGGTTTTTAGATGAAACAACGGGTTTTCCGTGACGTGAGACGAAGATTGCAATCGACTTTTCTCCTGAGAGTTCGTACAAAGTGGAGAACAACTGGGTAGATTCTCGGACCCCTCGTTATACCATCTTTACGTAGATGATCCATCCAGTATTACAAAGCTCTATTTGATATGCCTTGATAGCCTGGCTGTAAATAAGTGATGGTGATAATGCACACAACGTTTTCTGAACCCGATCATGGAACCGGTCGACACCTATCATGCATATTGGCAGCCATATACATAAGACAGGAAGATGGTAAGACATCAGTTGTGTCCCTGCACCCTTGGTTTTGACCAAAAACGATATACAAAAAGCCGGGGCATGCTGCTGATAAATCTTAGCTCGAAGCTCTTTGACGCCTTGTGCAATACATCACACTTTTATCAGAATAACCGGCAGCGTGTTCGCCAGCTTATGTACAAACTCTGTCCGACATAAACTGCGAAAAAGTAGTTAATTGTTGCCTGATGAGCGAATTAAACTTTCTGGAAAGACCTCGAAGTGTGACCTTCATCATTTTTTCTGTGGTGGCTGGCTCGAAACATTCGACCAAAGTTTAAAACCTGGACCTCTTTTCCAAATCTTGTTGTGGATAAAGAAGGACTTATTCTTGTCAATCAGATCACTAGTAACAGTTTGAAGTCGCCCATCATTTATTGACCTTCCTATTATGTTTCAATACCTTTGGTGGCATGGTAGTAGCATACATAGTCCATGGATGAGCGATGTCACTTGGGAGTACTGACCTTAACTTTCATTCAGCTACCAACTACAAACAGAATTTGTGTGTGTCATCGGATGATCCATTCCAAAGATGGCTGAACAACGAGGGGAATTTGTTGGAAAGGACCACCATAGGCTTGCAGCTTTCTGTCACTTAGCTCAAAATTGGAAGTGTTAATAACATTTAACCTGCCTAAGTACGCCACACCGACTTTGTGTACAGAAAGGAGGAAGACCTTATTATACCCTGCAGTATCATCCATCAGGCAAGTCACGCAAACAAATTGACCTTACCCGAAACACGGTGGTCGCCAGGAAGCAATCCCACCAGATAGCAAATCACATAGCCAACTCCAGGTTCAGGTCAAACTCCTGCTCCTTAGAAGTGTGTGCCTTATGGACTGCTCTACAGCGGGATGTAGTCACGGCCCCTTCAGTAGAATCCCTAAAAAGAAAGTTAGACAGTTAAGTCAGTTGGCATGGCTTCCCCGTGGCAAACTTAAGGCAGTAATGGCCTCATTAGCTCGGCACTACTCTCTTCTTACTTATCCCTCACAACCTTTCCGCTTTTTAAAGACCTGCATTATATTCTGAGTCCTTTCCAGCGACTGGACTAATACTACATGACTTCGCCCTTCCGCAACCCTCCATTTGACTCTTCTCAGTATCCTGCATTTCCACTCCACGCATCTACGTAGTTACGGAAGATTTGTAGCCACCCCAGTAATTCGTAGCCTTATCACCAACTCAATCCACAAGTTGAAATACCAACCCAAAAGCTTTCATCATGTATGGGTGTGTGTTATAATTCCGTAACGTTTGACAAACCCTACTTAACTTGATATGCTCTAGTACCTGCTTAACCAGTACCTTACCTAACGTGTAAGCACTAATAACGAAACACAAATCAAAAGGACTGGTTCGGGCTTATATTTGAAGAAGTAATGTATTTAACTAGAGTAAATGTAATAGTAATGAATGGGGGAAAAGATTATTCAACTTATCTGGCTAGTATGGTTGAGCTAGGGACTGGGAGTACGTACGTGCTAACCAGCACTAAGGAAGTGCAAAATGGCGTCGAAGGCTGCTTGGATGCATGCTCGTTAAAACGAAACCTAAAACACCCTAAGCATCCGGAGGCAAGCTAGAGGTTTATTCAGTTAATTTTATTTATTTATGTTAGCCCTAGTTGTATTTTGATACCAGGAGGGCGCAATACAATCACACCAGAGCTAAAAGCAGGGGAATAGAAGGGCTTTCCTTGCCCAATGCAGGAGCAAATCGGAAAACAAGAATGAAGCCCAAAGAAGTAGACGCCGGGGGTGGGGGGTGGGGGTAAAAATCCACCAGTTTCCTATACAAGCACTGTTGAGGTTGGATGTTAGCAGATTAAATGAGTTATGGAAATCCCATCCCAACACAGTGGTGGTATTTATCTCGTCAGAAGTCCACAACTAGAGGAAAAAAGCTACTTCTGGATCTTTTCTTGCTTGTGGGGAATATGTTAGATGAAAGTTGCTCACAAATATTCCCTAGTGAGTACTGCAACCAGCAGTTACGCTATCTTTCATTTATTTTAGGAACTTAAAAAGATTAGGCAGAGGTGTAACTTAGAATCCAATTAGAGTACTATATATTCAGAGTTTGAAAACCTCTGCAACATAACTTTGAAGCTTGTTTTAACTTTCCAGTTATAAAAATAACCATGGAAATTTGCTGGTATGATTTAGTAGTTATCACGCTGAACACCTTAATTACTATTCCATATTATGGACCATATTATGGACCATTGCCAGTTTTTAGTTCGTAATATTCATGTTAATTTGTCAGATACAAGAAAAGCTTGACTTGCTTACTCTAGACGTTTGACACAGAATGCATTCTAACTTAGTCAATCGATTGACTCCTTATGGAGCCATAAGAAGGATTAGCAGCAGAAATGAATTAGAAATGTGAAAATTACATCATTACGGGGTATTATTGAGACCTAATCCTGGACACTTCATATTTACAGAAATAGGGTTGGCAGCTACCATCGACCGTTATTCAGTTCTAGATTTGTTGTTTGTGGATAGAAAGCTCTTAGCCGATGTTAATCCTCTTCCACTAGATCTCTTAGGTTATTTGTTTCCATTTTGAGAGTCAATCGATGATGCGGACATCACTTCTGAGAGTCAGTTTCAGGATTTGATTACTTGAAACTAGAACCAGTGCTGTCTGTAGACTACGTTTGTTCTTTACTTTTCTATTCTCCTGCTATATCCCCCAAGGTATCCCAAACTGGTGGGCAGCAGAAAAAAAGATAAGTCAAGTTCAAAGTTACTTCTTGAAATCATGATCAGATCTCTCGTACATCTGCTATGGGATAAAAAGAAGAGGTTCAGCTCATAAAGTCGATCATCATAGGTCAGGCCATCTCAAGGATCTTACGAGTGGTTGTCCTCTAGATGCCTCCCAAAAGGTCCTAGTCACCTTTCAGACAAGGAGTTGCGACCTGTGAACAGTTTTCCAGTTTGGATCTAACTAAGGATGCGTATAAGACAGTGGACATATTGCCACTTATTTTTGTAGACGTCCTGTATAATGCCCAAAGTGTCCTACAACTCGTAGCTGCAACAAATCGATAGTGTGCTGTGACCTTCAACTCACAACTTACCGTGCTTCCTGGGTCATTGTGGGTCAGTACTGAAGGTAGAAGATGCCCATCAATATCGCAAGTATTACCATCTTTGTGCCCCATGTGCATGCTCACACATTTACCTGAATTGATAGGCAGCAGCCACTTCTCTGACTAGGTAAATACGTTGTTCAGGTTTGTCTAGAGTGCACGTATATCGTCTTCATCCCTGATTTTCACTAGAGTTTTACATCATTAGTACGGATATTCCTGACATTTGGCAGCTCATCTAAGCAAAAGAGAAATAGTAGGAGGCCTAGGGCAGTGCCTTGTGACACTCCACTTTATATCAACTTCCAAAAGGATTGTTAGAACTGATCCTGACTCTTTGTCACCTACCAACAACAAACTCTTTGATCCATGCAAGTATACTGCCAGTAATTCCGAAGCCTTTCACTTTCCCTAGCAACGTGGAATAAGGTACATTGTCAAACGACTTACCGAAGTCCAAGAAAATGACACTTACAGGTGTTCTGTCATCTTTAGACTTGGCCGAAATTCCTCTGACTGCGAGAAGATTCGTCATACAAGAAAAACGCCTGAGAAAGCCATATTGCTGGTGAGATAACAGGATGTTGCTCTCCAAGCGAACTGTATTGGCTTTTTTGATTTCTTTTTCTAGGATTTCTGCTTCAGTACTAGTCAAACTTATTGGTTTATAGTTTGATAGGTGCTGCCTAGAATCCTCCTTGAGGTAGGTTTAACAGTGGCTTCCTGCCAGTTATGGGGAAGTGTGCTTTCACTGAGGGACAGTCTAAATGGAGTAGTCAATGGGCCCTCTACATACAATGCAAGCTCTCTGAGCAGCCTTCGGTGCAGCTAATCCAGTCCCATTGATTATTCTACATCGAGATCACTTAATTTCTAAAATACATCATTAAAATCAATATCCTAAGAGCTTATTCTTTTGCATTTCAGTGCTTCTGCTGTTGAAGTAATGTCCACTGAAAGTTCCTGTGTAAGGACATCAGCAAAATAACCAGCCATAGCTACTGCTTTTTTCTTATTTTTTTCAATTCAACGATTCATTTTTGTCCATTTGATTAAGGTGGATATACCACGATTCTTCTTATTTCTATGGTTAATTTAAGGAAATAATCTCTTCCAGTGTTTTAATGCAACCTTGGGGAGACGTATTTCAGATCATATTCAAGACCGGCGGATAGCGGCAGTACATCTACTTCAGGCTTATTAGTAATGCTTCATCACCTTGGTACTTCTGAAGTGAGTGGCGAGACTGCAACACTTTTTCTCACGTCATAGTAAGATTCGAATTTCTTAGTTTGTTCACGTAGGAAAGTGTTTCCGTTACTTTGAAATAGTCCACGAATTAACGGTTGAGTCGCTTGTGCATGTAACTACTTGAAGAAGCATCATACGGCCTCTACTAAGGCTTCTGAATTAACTGTCCAGTCCTCCGAATAGCCTGCAGGGTTAATAGCTGTGATTTTCTTTTTCCATTAATCGGATCTAACTGGGGGATTGATCTGATACAAGACGGCTGCTGTGAATCTGAAACTTATCACATCTTGATCACTTTTATAAAGGGGTTCAGGGCGCCAAATGAAGCATACATCATTTGTATGTGAGAACACTGAGTCTAGGACTCATGCAGCATGCTTATGATCGTATCTAGTTACTGCTCTAGTATGCTGTATAAGGGCAAAGAAAATTCATGTTTTAAAAACCTGTGACCAGACGAGTTACGTGATGCTTTTGTCGTTGGTCTATCCCTGTCAACTGTTGGTGCTTTGAAGTCTCCTACAATTAGATTCGAGGAGTTATCTGTCCAGAGGTCAGCTTATTCAGAAGGGAGTCTTCTGCGTTACATTCAGGGCTTTAATATATTGCGATTTTATCACCGTCTCATCCGTTGCATTCCAATCGACAGTGCAACACTTCACATGTTTCACTTTCATGTGCAACCCTTTTCTATGGCTCTTACAGTTAGTTTTCTTCAAGCACAAGATGACACTACCACCTATGTGTGCTAAACTATCACTTCTGAAAGAGGTGAATCCTTGTTAATGTTTTTCAATGTCACGGATCTCAGATGAGCCAAGTTTCTGAGGCAGAAATGGTATCAGGACTTCCCAGGCCTATTACATTACTGAGCTCAGTCCACTTGTGTAGGAGACTGTGTGCATCTGTGTACGAGGCGATAAAACCACTTAAATGAGTTTCCATCCTATCTATAGGGGCCTGGGCATAGTTTGTTCCTGAAATCTTACTACACAAAAACCCACTTTTTTTACATATCTCTAGCTTGCTGCTAATCTGATCTTATTTTTACTTCTGATTCTATTTGTGACTCGAGCAGCCGGAGGCAAATCCTTACTCACGAACCATGGACCATTATAATTAGGCTTAATTAAGGGTCAGTGACCTATCTGCTTCTTTGAAGCCCACAGTAATGTTTAGATTTAACTATAGTCGAAAAGCATTGACCAAAACGTTGGATACTGTGCAATGTACAGAAGTCCAACAGATACACAACGTCGTGTTGTCTCACGTTCCTGGGAAAACTAGTTTCCTGATGATGACTCCACACAGTTTTATGGATTTTTCTATTACTTTCTTCTTGATAAACAGCCGCAGAAATGAGAAGTAAATAAAGCCACTTAGCCCTGGAATTAATACGGTGATATTATTTGCTTATATATAAAAGCCAATGTCATCTTACGACAAGATAGTGAAGAAGGTTTCCTGAGCATGTTTCTTGGATCCTGCCATGTTTTAGCTCACTTCCACCCTCAAGAAAAGCCGTGCATGTAAGTGGTTCTGATACATCTACTCACAGTGCTGCATAAGACCACTTATAGCCACAGAGCCCCTTTGTGAGGCTACAAAAGACTTTCCTGTAGGTGACGAAATGCAGGCATCTCCCTAAACCGGGATAGCCAGTGATGCTATTATTATTAGTTCAAGTCAACCAAGTGACTACCAAACAAATGGACAACTACATTGTTCTTAGGTTGTGAAGTCACTTTAGTGACAACCACTATGGGTTAGGGAGGCCTGACCATGGAATTTACATACAGCAGATGATAACACAAATGTCGATTGTCAATCGAGCCATATCGTCTTAGTTAACGTTACTGTATGCAGTGAAAGTCCTGTCAAACAGACGGAATCGTTTGGCAAGCAGCAGTGGTACGCCATCTGGTGCACACTAGGACTGGGCAATCCAAAGACAAAGCTTTACCGGTTACACAAAGACAGTCATTTACCTTCAGAGAAGCCTCCATCGTTGATGGTGACTCTAAGCTCCGATAGGGGGGCAAAACATTCCTTTTGCTTTCAGACACACTGACCGTTAACCGGTCGTCTAGCAGAGATTGACCATGGTCGGTAAGCAAAACATCTTAACAAGCGCCTCTACACGCAAAGACCGACTACCATGGTATATCGAAACTAACAACCAGTACATCAGGAAGAAATATACCAGTGGCGTTCATAATTGACAATGGTTATTATCAATGATGGAGTTGAACGGAATAGCAGCGGTGCACGTCTGCAGGGACCTACACCCTCTCACCTAGATGTTGTTAGCTGACAACAGTGGCATCCACAGATTGATGGCTATCAACTTCAGGTGTCCGAAGCACCTAAATGAAGTACTTTAGACCTGTTAAACAGTTAAGGATGCCATCAGTAGGAATGTCCACTGTTTTTAATGCACACTCATAGCACTTCAACAGCGGACGACAGTTCATCTTTGTGCTTAGGCTGCAATTACTGTACATCGATGTAACGAGGACCGGAACGACAAACCTGGTTGAATGATGACTACAGAAACTATTCTGGCAACAAACCTAACTAAGCCGGTCCCATTGGAAATGGTTAGACGGTAACAAATTTCACTACTGCACACAAACGTTCGGTATCAGTCATCAATAAAACACCTTACGCTTCGAGAAACATCTCCAAGTGTATTTGAAACAATGTCAGAGGAGTTAGAGGTAAGATGAAGGAGCCACGACTCCTCTTTTCCCATCTTGATCAGAAAATTGTTATCTCTAAGGAAACTTTGGTTTTCGTGGAATGTTAGCAACACTGAAGCAAATATGGACGGTAAGTTTCTGTTCAGGAGAGTCAAAAAGTACAAGGATGGAGGTGGAGTAGCAATGTTTATGAGTGACCTACTGAAAACGGGAAAAACTGCTGGCACTACCGACAGGGCTTCGAGACTCAGTCTGCTACCACTTTGTAACCTTACACTGGGTATCTGATGGGGGGGGGATATTTTGACCCCTTGCTAGCAACGTAGGACAGAACCGATGACTGCTTTTAGCTATATCCACAATGACGACAATGGGGCACAATCAGATTTTATAGTAGGGATATGAATGCACCATATCTCAACCTAAGGCAGGACAGAGCAACTTCGAGCAGTATGTTTGGTCAAAACCTGCTAAGCGTCACCGAAATTGCTGAGCTAAGTGAAAAGACTGGTGATGACAATCTCTGGGAGGCGAGTAAAAGTCATCAAAACTGAACTATCTTCTCAATGGTGACCATTCTCTAATAAAAAATATTTAAGCTCAAAGTCCTCTCAACAGCAGCGAACAAGCTATGACAGTGTTTGGTATGGCAATCACTGGAAAACTGTGATGGGAGGGATCTCGCTCTTGTCTTTGCTACAACAAGCCAATCTACGTGACTATGAACTAACATTTGCTAATAGTTCCATGGCCTCAGGAGTGGAGTTGCTTACCATTTGATCGCTAGGAACTAGTAAGGGACATCATTGAGAGGGCGATCTCTGAAAATGTCCATCTAGTGGCAATAACGTCTAATAAATGAACGTCATAGATAAAACGATGCAATGAGCATCTTTTGGAAGCCAAAAGGAAAGCGTGACACAAGTAAAGGCTCTCCAGCGAAGGGTAAGATCATATTGTATATGTGGCTGTAATGATTCCATGCAACATGAAGATGCGAGTGGATAGGAGGTAGTTCGAGACAAACTTTGTCCAGAAGCCTGAGGTGAACCCGAAAACCTACATTGACTCATGGCGAAGAGAAAGGTCTATTGGTCATGGAGCACGCACTATGAAAGTTTCGAATGGACAGAACCTCTCTGGACTGGAGATTGCCAAAACTTTTAGCCCAACCTTCGATACACAACTGAACATTCCACCACCCAACCAAACTTGCTAGTTCTTTGAACGACCTTCAACGTTATTCAGTGTGGAGTAGTCGCATGCAATAAGCGTAGCTCCTGATCTGGTTATCGAAAAACTGTTGAGACTCCATGCTGGAAAATTCCTCAGGATGCGGTGACATTTGCCCGTCGGTACTGAAACAATGTGCAGGCCGCCTATGCGGCCCTTTCCGTGGACTTTCTTAGCATTTCCTAGATGAACATAAAGTGCCATGGGGATGGAAATGTGCAATCCTCTCTCCCAAAGTGGGAGACACGCATAACCCAAATATTATCGGACTAATGCATAGCCCAGTGGATGACCATATCAGAGAAAACTGAGACAAAAAGTGAACACTATGTGATGCTCAGCAAGGCTTCCGAAAGAGTAGGTTCTGCCCACGAACCTTCTGACATCCTGTAACACCTGGATAACATTCCAATCACCTCCACGTTTCTGTTCACATGAGTTTTCTGAATTTCGATAAAATCTTCGATATAGTCCGGCAAGCCATTCTTCTGCAGAGAATAGCAAAGTTGGGTATCAGCGGTCAGGTGCTATCCAGGCTGGAGTACTTTTTAGATAGCAGGGAGTTTGCAATCATGTTGGCAAGATCTGCTCAGCTAGGTGAGCATCACAAAGAGTAATTTTGGGTCTCTTGCTATTCCTGCTTTTCATGAATTATCTCCCTTCGATTCTCAGCTCCTTGATTCTGCTTTGTGCCAAAAAAGTTATGGAGAGCTGTGACATCCAGAAAAGAATCGGACGCTCCACAAGGCCACCTCAGTATGTTAGAGGAGTTGATGAAAAATAATGGGATTGCACTGAACCATATTTTTCCATACTCATGACTCACGGAAAGTATATTGGTTTCTCTGTGTTATGCATCTTTCATACATGACCACGAAAAAAGACCTAGGACTAATACCAACAGACAAACTGGACACTAGTTCTAGTTATTCAGGAGACTCCTCCCAAGCCTACACAGTACTACACTTCGTGCGTAGATAACTAGACGCTGTGTCACCAGAACTCTTTCTGAAGCCTAATAAGATCTATATACAACCTCACGATATC